TGAAATAGTTGAAGAAGGATTTTTAAACAATGACATTAAATTAATTACAGATATAGATTCTATTGTTTCTGAGGTTAATATCTTTACAGAAAATGTCAAGCAACATGCATGTAATCCTAAAATGTCAAGCAACATGCATGTAATCTCAAATGTGTCCTAAAGTTGACAAGACGATCAGAGGTTTAAATAGATACACTGCATCGAAGCATATATTAGAGAACTTTGATAAATGTTCTTCAAGCATTAATAATACAAAAAAATCTTCAAATAAAATATCCCCACTAAAACTTAAAAGCATAGTTGAAGAACATTTATTGGAAAGGGATATGTGTCTTCCATATGATATAAGAAAGCACTTTTCATGTGAGAAATTTAGTTTATCAATAAACAATGCTGAAAATCTTTCTAAAAAATTAAATCTAATAATAGAAAAATTTAACGGCAATAATGATTTATTTTATCAAGAGTATTATGGACTGTTAAGTGAAAATTTACTAGATTCACACTTCAGCGATATAAGTTTAAGTAATACACTACTCACTGAAATGTCTTCTTTTATATTAAACTATCTTACTGGTGTAAAACCGAATTTTGTTGAAACTGTAGATACAACTCAAGAAATTACTGATATAGAGAAAAAGAGTTTATATTATTTTGTTGGATACATTTTTCAAAGGTTGTATACTAAATTTCAAAGTAGTAAAAATTCATCTATGTATAGACAACAGTGTGTTTCAATTTTGCTGCGATGCAGAGTTATGGAAGATAATACTCAGACTCTTGAAAATATAAGAAATAGAGATTTATGGAAAGTGAACAATATAATTCAACTTTTTATTAATTAAAGCAATAATTAATGTTTTATGGCAATAAATCAAGACAGATGACAATAAAAATTGTCAATGCGTTGCAGCGTGCCTTATAAAACATATTTTATTTAATATTTCTCAATTAACGTCGAATTTAGCAAGTATTTTACATTAAAACCTGTCTCTTAAAATTACAAATAAAAAAACTACCAATATTGACAATAAAAAGTTTTTCATTAAATGATTTCAATTTTAAAATTTATTTGCAATCTTGACCAATAATTGTTCAATTTTAAAAATAAAATAAAATAAGCAATACATGCTTTACAGAATAAATTTTAATAAATATATTCTCGAATGATTAAATAAGAATTTCTAGAAACTTGATGAAAATGTACCCAATGAAAAGTTTAGCAAATAAATCCTGTTAATCAAACTTTCATGAGGTTAACTCTTTTGTTATTAGACGTTTTAAAAAAAAAAATTTTGCGCACATTTTTTGAATAAAATTTAGATGGCATAACATTGACAACTAACTTAAATTCGAATAGTAAATCTTTTTAAAAGCATAACAAACTATCAAATAAGTTTTTAACGCGCATAATAAGAAATGTAAAGTGCATTTATAAATAGTATTAAGTTCAAAACAAAACTCATTTAATGTATAAAAAAATTGTTTTTATTCAAAAGACGCTTTTAATCACTAAGTTGAATACTTATACACTTCTGTGAGTTAAATTTTACAGTGTTAAACATGCTGCTTTATTTTAGAACTAAATATAAATTTTAGAAACTAGAAAGAAGTTTTTTTTAATTAAGCATTACTCAAAATTTTTAACTTTGTCAAGTGATAACTTTTTATAATAAAACAATATGGCTCTTATTTATTCTTGATTATATAATATAGTATAATATATATATATATATATATATATATATATATATATATATATATATATATATATATATATATATATATATATATATATATATATATATATATATATATATATATATATATATATATAACAATGAATATAACACAAAGATAATTTAAAGCAACAGACAAGCTTAAAATATCTGAAATATTTTATTCACATTTTAAAGGCAAACTTGCAGAAAATTGAAAATAAAATAACTAAAAAAATTCTACAGTAATTCATTATGAAAACTTTTACATAATAATAAGTAACTAAACAAATTCTTAGGTAATCTATGATAAAATAAAAAATTTCTATAATTTGATAAAAAAAAAAAAAAAGAACTTTCGGATTTTTTATCGAAATTCTACTTTTTGGAATTAGACGCATTTGAATGAATAATAAAGTCTGTCGATTGCGGTATATATTTAAAAAACTTTTAGAGATTGGCCAACATAAAGACGACAAGCTTTGAGTAAAACAACAAAGTTTTTTTGTTTTTTTTGGTATATCTTTATTATTTTGTTTTACTTAAAAATTTTAAATTTGCTTAAATTTTTCCTAAACATTTTTTTTTAAAAATCATTCTCTTAAATATGAACACAACTCGTATGTGAACTCGTATATGAACAAGTCTTGGCACTTTAATGTTTACTACTAAAAGTTTCATGCTTTAGCAATCATCAGGTAAAAAATACATTATGTTATTTCTTTATTACATTATTTAATTATTATACAAAAAAAATGTGCAGAAACATATACAAAGTCTTTAATTGTTTGCAAGTGTGCTAAAATCCTTCGGTTTTTTAATCTTTGGGTTTGTGGTTGTCAAGTAAAAACTAGTTATCATGAGGATATTTTGACATTTTTTCAAATTTTTTGTTTAGTAATTATGGGGTATCTAGTTTTTCGAGGGTGTTATTTTGAGGTTTTCTCTTAATTGTGTTTTATAGGTTGAATTCTTTAATTCTTTAATTCTGAAAGAGTGTTTGTGGTTAATCCAATCTTTCTTAGAATCATCTTCTGATAAGTTAATATATACTTTTTCTAGAATGTTGGGAGGTGACACTACACATTTATAAATAACATTTAAGAATCTACATTTTCCTTTGAATTTTTAGTTTTTTTGTTGTGGATTTTTATTATTTTGTCAATGTTTTTGGTGCAGCTATAACTCACTTTAATTGTATTTGGACTGAATAACTTATCTAGATGATGGGATATTGGAAAATGTTTGTTGATTAATTTTAGGAAGATATGTCTAACATTGATAAAAACGCTTTTACAGTAGGGGGTTGAACCATATTATGTTTCTTTTTCTTCTGGGTTCGTCCTTATTTTCAGGGTTATATCTTAATTAAAAATCAGTGAAGCCGGTTCTTCTTAGTTCCCTTTTGTATCCTGGTATAGATATGATAAAGATGTTTTCATTTGAAGAATTTTGATTCATTTAAAAACTTGATGAGGGTGGTTGGAATCAGTGTGGATGTAACGTAACTTTCCATTTAATTTTTTAAAAGGTTGGAACACATTTTTTTCTAGGTTGAAAGGTACATCTAAAAAGTTGAACGCAAGTAGTTTTGTTTGTATTACTATTTTAAAACCAATCGTTTTAAAAATTTTAATATTTTTTTGTAAATGATCAATTTGCAAGCTAGTTTTTTTTGCAGATTATCTTCAGACCATTGTCAGGGTATAATTCAATGTTATCTATATTTACTATTGTGGATAATGAGTTTAGTATGTATAAGCTCACCTAGGGTGTCCGATTTCCGCAAAAATTTCGAATAACCACACCAACTTTTAAATTGAGGTTTAGACTAAGAAAAAAATAATATTTACCAAGTATTTTTAAAAAATATAAAAATTTAAGTGGGGGCATTTAAATTTTTATATTTTTAAAAAATATAAAAATTTAAAAAGTTGAGCAAATCCTTTTTTACTGTGTTTTGTGAGTATTTTTGTTCAAAATGTTAACAAATATATTCCGCAACAACTTCAACTTTTCACACAGTATAATTTACTATCTTATTTATACTGTATAAAAAATTTTAGTTAAAAAAATTAATTTAAGGGTCCCCCCGATTTAAATAGTAAAATGGTTTTAAGCATTTTAACTTCTGTTAATGTAAGATTGATACAATTCTTTGAGTGTCCTTTATTATTTCAACACATGCGTTTTTATTATATACAATGTTTTATGAAGACATTTTTATATTGTACCAAATTGAAGCTTTTACGGTTAATAACTACTTTCTGACAATGCCAAATTTGGGGGGACCCTTAAATTAAATTTTTTAACTAAAATTTTTTGAACAACATAAAATAGATAGTAAATTATACTGTGTGAAAAGTTGAAGTTGTTACGGAATATATTTGTTAACATTTTGAACAAAAATACTCACAAAACACAGTAAAAAAGGATTTGCTCAACTTTTTAAATTTTTATATTTTTTAAAAATACTTGGTAAATATTATTTTTTTTTTAGTCTAAACCTCAATTTTTTGGTAATGGCACACCATATGGTCCACAAGTTCACAAACTCCCGCACCATCAAAAAATCTCATTGTGACATCAAAACAGTCATGTGTTAATTTTCTTTTCCAAGTTTTGTTTAAACAGCAAGGACTTTTTGGTTAATGACTATGATAATGGTTTTTGCTTATGTGGCCAATTTTAGATTTTGCAAGATGACAAGGTTTATTGTTTTGGAATGAATCGTGAAACTGAAGGTTGTGGAGTTTTCAAGCTTTTAAGTGGCTTTATTACACGTTTTTGTAATATTTTCGGTTATATTATAATATTGCTTAGACTTGATAAATATTGTTGGTTTTGTATCTAAATAGTAATATGTTCATTTAGTATTATACTTTGTTTGAAATAAGTTTGTGTAACTTGGAGAATTTTATATATAAAATACTTATTAAAAAAAATGTTTTCCTAGGACTTATAAAGTTTTCATGTGATTTGTTTACTTAAAAAACAATTTCTTTCAATATTTGTTGTGTGTTTGGAAGTCTTCATATCGCTATAGAAGTAATTATCAATATGATTTATTAAATATAGTTTACTAACAACTATAATGTTAGGTAAAATATATGTTAGATGGAAGTGTTTATTAAATTGTAAGATGAGTGTCAAAGTAAACTATGAATTAGTTGAGTTGTGTTAAGTAAATTATTAGTTGAGTAGGGTTAAGAAAAAAATGTAATGTAAAATATTGAGAATATAACATTTAAGTGAAAAAATTAATAAACTATATATTTAAACCTTATAGATTCAAGATAGCACAAGTAATTTGAATGTTTGTTTACTTCATTACAAACATATGATTCTTCATGAACTGCACAATACAAGGGATCTGTAAAAATCATTAAAAAGTTTCAAAATGATTGATTCTTAAATATTTAATACTAATAGTAGCAATCAATTTATTATGTATACATCATAAATATGGTTTTATTGTCTGTAACATAACATTTTTTTAAATATAATTTATATTTATTAGAACTATATTTAAAACAATACTTTGACTTAATGTTGTTCTAACTCTTTGAAGTAATAGATTCCACAATTCTATCAAACTAAAAAAATAAAACTTTTAATTTTTTCTCACAATTTCAAAACAAAACTAAGTAAATGCAAAAACTGTTATACTAACATTTACCTAAGTATATTTAACTGTCCTTCCTTATAAATACTTACCTTAGTATATTTAATTGTCTTTCCTTATAAACATTTTGAAAACGTTTTCCCTTTGAAAGAAAAAAAAATTAAATTAAAAAATATATATATATAAATATTAATTAATAATATACTATTTAGGTTACTCATAACCTAAATTTTTTTTGTATTTAGTGAAAATAGATTACGATGAATCAGTAAAAATGTCTTTTTTTTTTTTAATTATCTTATTACACAGATTTCTCATGGATATCAAAATATTATTCCTCATGAAAATTAAATTCAAGATTAAAAATATAATCTGATAGTTTTGAGTAGTAAACTTTAATACTATTTGTATTTACTTGTAAGAAGTTTTAAAATTAAGACGGGTAATAAAAAAATTTATTTTTTTTAATAATATATTGTTAAAAAACTACTTTTTAAAGTGTAATACTTGCAAAGTTTTTATTTTCTGTCTTGCATATCATTTTCATATTCAAAACCTCATTATCATTTTTGCTTTGAAATCCCAGTTGGCATTTTGCTGATCTGAACCTCTATGTTGTAATTTTAAACTCAACTTATGTTGTTGTAAAATTTTAATAATCAAAAACAAATGTGTATGTTAAATGATTAACAGACCAGTTAAAAATTTATATGCATGACATATTTATTATACAACTAAATATTCACAAGGCTTTTTCAAATGTCCTTTCTCTTTTTGTAATGCTCTAGGTGAGGTATTGTTAATTTTTCAAAATATCTAAAACTTTGCTATCTGCATTAATCTGTTGTTTCTATTTATATATAAAAATTATACATATTTATATATAATCTAATTATAAATAGAAGTAGTAATCTGAATAGATTACTACTTCTGTTTATTTATAATCCAAAAATAATACTTTAATATACTATTTTTCAATCTTTATTTAGAATCATAAAGTTTTATTTTTTTCAAGATGTCAGATAATGAATTGCTTTAATCCTACATATTCTATTTGTTTTGTAAATAATAAAAACCTAAACAGGCTACTCATATTTTCAGAATCTCATTTTAAATATTTGTTCTTTTAGTCATCTAACTATTTTTTGATCTTTAGTTTTAGTATAGAATTCAAAAAGATTGAAATATAAACATATTTTATAGTTATATGATTATACTTGTATCATTTTAGCAATTGCAAAATTTCAGAAAAACTGCAAACAAGTTGATTCTGTTCACAATGAAGTGGAAAAAAGAGATATAAGTGAAACTTGTACAAAATGGGGCACTGGGGTAAAATGATTTTTTGCAAATAGTCAGTTCTGAATGTGAAAACAACTAAATGGTGATTGATTTTGAATTATCACATGACCAAATGCCACCATTACTTGAATTTTAGCAAAAGTTGTCTTAGCTATGCTAATATGACTTAAAATGAAAAAAACATTTATGAAACTGGTATAAAAAAAATCTCAATAACTGAGTTGTATTAATGACTGGGTCACAACCTTGATGTAATTTTACTGTGTCGTATTTTATGATGCAGTTTTATTTTATGTGATATTTGTGGGTTTTATTAAAACTTTTAAATTTTGAAATATGTGAACCTTTTTAGCATGTGGCACTGTTTTAGGCGATATGCAACCGATGGGGTGTAACTGGGTATGAAATATGGAATAATGGAAAATTCCATATTTTGACCCCAAGTGTTTTTAAATAAATTGTTGACTAATTGTACATGTGTGTCTATATATATATATATATATATATATATATATATATATATATATATATATATATATATATATATATATATATATATATATATATATATATATATATATATATAGATATAAATTTTCTCTCAGATCAGCGTCACTTAAAAAAGCAACTTTTGGGCCTATTAGACAAGAGTTATGCTATGAAAGTGAAAAGAAAGGAGGAAAAAGAGAAAAATAAAATCAAGGCTATTGAAAAAGAGAAACCTAGAAAAAAAAACATAAAAAAAAAAAAAAAAAGTTTCAATGTATTGGCAGCTTTTGATAATGAAGATAAAACTCATAATAAAAATGAAGAAAGTACTATTGCTAGACAGAAAAAAAAATCAAGATATTAGAAAACCCTAAAGTTTCCTTAATGGCTGATAGGTTAAATCTATCGAACAGAGAAAGATCTGGAAACATTTTAGCTGTAGCTGAAGCATTAACATTATCTCAAAAAGCACAGCGAAAAGATCAGGTAATAAAGTTCAACAGCAAGTTTCAGATGATCTAAAGAAAACATTCATTTCACACATGAACTCTTTCATTCACTGGAATTCAAAGTTGGTATCTGATGTCAATGGTAAAGTGGAACATTTGGCCATTGTTGTAACAGGAAAACCAAGTGCACCTGAAGGGAAACTGTTGTGTGTATCCAGGATTCCTGATACAACTGAACGAAGTTAGGCAACAGCTACCATAAATGCTGTAAAGGCATGGAAACTAAAAAAAATAATTGTGGCAATGATTTTTGACACAACTCCATGAATTCAGGTTGAATAAATGGTTCTGCAAAGTTAATTAAAGAATACTTTAACTAAAAGTTACTTTAGTGCGCCTGCTGACACCATATTTTTGAAAGAGTTTGTCTTCTATATACTTAATAATAAATTTAATAAAGAGAATAAATTTAATAAAGAGAGTTTGTCTTCTATTTACTTAATAATAAATTTAATAAAGAGAATAAATTTAATAAAGAGAGTTTGTCTTCTATTTACTTAAAAATTTTTGGAGAATGTATATCTATAAATTATGAGCCATTTTGAATGTATATCTATAAATTAAGAGACACTTTAAAAATGAGGTATGGCCTAAGCTTTCATTAACATCAGATATTACTTTAAAAAAAAAAAAAATCGAAGAACCAGTATTAAAGACCAAACAAACAGAAATAATTTTTTTGTCTGGTTAACTTAACCGGAAATCTTGAAAAATATTAAGAGATGATTATGGAGAATGTTGTCAACTTGCTTTGTAATTACTCAATCCAAAACACAGAAACATACTGTGGCACAAACCTGGAGCCTTCCATTATGCTAGATGAATGTGTACAATCTTGTACACATCAAAAATGTTTGCTTTTGCTGACCTGGCAGAGTATGAAGAAAGTTTTATAGAGAAATTGCACGGTTTTGTAAATTTACCATTTTATGTGAAAATATGGCTAAAGTGCACAAGCACAGTGGATGTCCCATTTAATGACATGGAATTCTACAAATAAATGCTTATTTGTAAAAAAATTGACAATAATGTTGCTGTTGCTGCCCTGAAAACATTTAATTGGCATCTTTGGTATTTAACCGAAGAAATGTCCCCTCTTTCATTTATTTTTGATAAGGTATCTGATTGTGATAAGACTAAATTGCTAAAACTATTCTGAAAAATATAAAAGAAAACTGTAAACATGATATAGGCTTTCCGCAATTTCCTCTTCTGAAGGAATACTTGTTTGACTGATTTTATTGGACCAAAATTAATCAACATTCTATATTTATTTGGATATTCAAATGAGGACAGTAGTTGGTTGGTAAAATCCCCAAAGTTTTGGAAAGCTAACACAAATTTTAATCACATGTTTGAGCATATCAAATCACTGAAATCTGTAAACAATACAGCAGAATGAGCTGTTAAACTAATTCAAGACTATGCAACATCTATTATAAAAGATGATGAGCAGAAAGGATTTCTTTTACGTGCAGTAGAACACCACCAAAAAGTTCTTCCTAAATAAATAAACAAACAATTCAAAAACTTAACTTTTGAAAGTATGCTTTAAACAATCTTTTTTTTATTATACCTTTAAAATATTGTTATTTTGTTGTTATAACTTTGTTGTAATTAACTTTGTTGTAATTAATTTTAAAAACTTTAAATCAGATTTTCTCAAGTAGACAGTGTAACAGGATTTTGGGATTTATGTCTCAGTGACTACCAACAGTAATTATACCATATCACCAAAAAAATCTATGGTATCATGATATCAAGTTTTTTGATTTTTAAACAACAGTGATGTATATACTTATATAAACATAAACATTTAAAGAAAACAAAAATATATATATTTATAAACATATATAGGCATGTGTATATACACATACTTTTTTGGTTCCATTGGGTTGATCAGCCCAGTTTTTTAACTTTGCAGGGTTGCTCGAACCCAAATTTTTCATATTTTATCATTTATCTCTTGTATTTTACTAATTAAGTTGATAATGTTATCAATACACATTGTTATTTGAGAAGTAAGTTGAGAATGCATAATACACATTGTTATTTTTTTAGAAAATTATTATTTAAAAATAAAAATAGTTGGCTGGAATTCAGAACACTTAATAAAAAGAACACATATTTAATCATCCAGCAAAGTTCTCTCATCAGTATAGCATGAAATTATTGCATCATCCTGAAATTTCAAACAAAAACAATTTCATGAATGAAAACATATTTTTAAAACACATTATTAGACATATTTTCAAAGTTAATTTAAAGTAAATTGAGACTAGAAGTCAAAATAAATTATAGTGTATTGGTCAAGTTACAGCTGTGATCACAGGGTACAAATTGCCCTTAACAAGTCTTAAAAATCTTCTTTTTTTTTTTAAAATAACAACAAGGTAAGAGAAAGTGCAGGTCTTGTTACAGATCGAAAAAAAGCTAGAATTTCAACAAAGCAACACTATCATGTTATAAAACATGTTAAAAAACTTGTTGAGAAATAAGGAAAGCTGAAAAGGAATACAGGTCAAAAAACTCTGCAGAGAAATGAAGAAACTTTTTCTCCAGAAATCAAAGAACTATTTGATATTGCTCATAAAGATGCTTTAAAATCAATCACAATAGAAGAAAAAAAGACATTTCTTATACAACATAAAAGAAGGATGAATAGGCTAAATGTGAATTCAGTTAATTGTGAATTATGCAAACAAGAACAGTGAATTTTAGACACAAAAAAAAGGAAAACAACAAAAGAAAAACAAAAAAGCTAAAAAGAAGAAAAGGAACATGTTTAACAGTTAAAGAACTATTTTTGACAAAATCAGACTCCTCTCAGGGTATTGATAAC